TATGCAAAATGGTTTTTTTTTTTTTTTTTTTTTTGATAGGTAGAGCATTTAGTTAAAGCACAACTATTGGACTTGAGGTTGCTTTTTCGCATGTCATATGTACCACTTTAAGTCATGGACATATGTAGAAGTGGTAAATAGAAGTTGGAACAGAAGGATCAGATTACCTTTCTTTTAGTTTTCTCAGTTTAGATTCTCCATTATTTCCTTGGTAAATCAAAGAAATATTCAAACATCGTTTTTATCTTTGCAGGATCAGGATGTACGTGTACAAAATAGTAGGTAATGTTCTTGAAGTTACTGAGTCTTGCATGCAGTATGTCAAATAAGAACGTCTAACTTATTTTATCTAGTTGCAGGCTTACATACAGTGATCTATGCCTTCGAATACCTGAATCAAAGTTTAGGCAGTGTTTGTTAAAAACACTAGCTGTCTTATTTACCTTGATGTGTTCATATTATCAAATCTTAAGCTTCCAACTGGATACAAAGGTCCATATTTACTGTTCCTTATATATTTCACTTGAATCATATTTATTTTCAGCTTAGAAAATAGTTTCTTTGTTTTTCAGCTCTAGTTAATGGAGTCTATGTAATAATATCGTTCTATTTCAGTGGACGATTGTACCACTCCTTGTCTGCTCACATTGGAAATAATTCTATTCAAAATTTTCTGTTGCATTGAATATAGTTTTATACAAAATTTCTGCTGAACTGAATATAGTTCGATGAAAATTGTATGCTGCATTGAATATAGTTGTAAGAAAATTTTCTGCCACATGAGTATTATTCTTTTATAATTTTCATAGATGCAAAATTTAGAGGCCACAGAATTCTTATTGCAGAAGTTGCTGAATACAAGCCTCAAGTCTTTTTTATGAAACCTCATTGGTACTCCTAGAAGTATAAAGTTGTTTAGAAAATCAACATTGGATGAGTTTGATTAGAGAAATCTACAAAGAAATAAGAGGGTATCACATTCACTATTAATTTCGTTCTTGAAAAAAAAAAAACAGAGCATTGCAGAACTCTATTTGCCTGAATGCTGTCTATTTTTCAACATTGGATGAGTATGTTTACAGAATTCTTATTGCAGAAGTTACTGAATTGTTTTGTAAAGTAACCTTTTTTATCTTTGCTTGTTTCACCATCCCTTTGTAGAAGACTTTAGCCCCACTCACAGTTAACTTTCAGAGGGAATTTTACTAGCCTTTCCTAGAGCACTTTTCTATGAAGAAAAAATGGGCAAATGTGCCCTCAAATTTTCTGATAAGGCTGTAGAATCCCCTTGTCACACTATTGAAGGAAACTTGAATAATTTGTGTTTAAGGTAATGATTTCTGGGAAGTTGGGATATTCCATGTAGAAAGCTTCAAATGTTCAACGCAAGAGTGTCAACCAAGGACTGGAGGGATATTCCTCTTTTAAAACTTACTGTGTAGTTCTAAAATTTTTGGATTGGCCAAGTAGGAGCAATTTTTCTTAGCTCCAGTAATCCCCAATCAATAGAAAAAATGGAAGAGATTGATGAGAAATTCTAGAGGCCAAGGGAAGCTCCAGAAATCTCACTTGAATTGTCAAAAATGGCCGATGTAAGAATGCCTTTGGAATGGATAGATTTCTCCTTGAAATCTTAGAGGCCTAGGGTTTTTGGCCAAAGGAACATTATCAAAATACTATAATCAATTATAATCGGTTCATTCTGGGATGTTTGCTTGGAACCCCTATTGCTCAAGCTTTCTTCAGTGTCTGGTCCATCCATTTGTTGTTTTGTAGTCCCTTTTTCCCCTTCCCAACAAATGACAGATGGAAAAAGACTTTACTTAAAAATTTATGATGTTTCGCATGTAGTCATTTTTAATGGATTTAGTAAGGGCAAAAAAACGGGAAAGGAGCTAACAGACTAAATGTTTCTGTTTATGATTTTAAGGATACTATTGTTAAGATATTTAGTTTTAGTTTTACTTTATATTCTGTTTGAATCACTGGTAGTTAGTAGCAGATTTTATTGTTACCTGCTTTCTTTCATCTGGTGGCTTTTCTGTTGGGCACTTAAAATTTTATCTTAATAAGCATGTTTTTGATTCAGGATTCAGTTCAACAATCTCCTAACATGAATCAACTAGAAGATAATTGTGACCTTAATTTAGGAGATACAGAGGAATCAACGACAAGAATTATGAATCCTGTTTACGTGGATGGGAGTGATTCTAATATGGAGTCCCGGACAGATAGCAGTACAGCATCAACCAGTGGTTCTCCCTGGTATCATCTGAGAAAAGATGCTATAAGTTTTGTTTCCCAAATCCTTCAAAAAGGCCGTAAGAACCTCTGGCAACTATCAACTAGTCGTGTGTCAGTACTGCTTTCTTCTGTTGCTGTTTGTTCTACGAGCATTCATCAATTCTTGAAAAACTACGAAGATCTCAATGTCTTCATATTGGCTGGAGAAGCCTTCTGTGGAGTTGAAGCAGTTGAGTTTAGGCAAAAGTTCAAGATTGTTTGTGAAAACTATTATGGGACTTTTCATAAGCAGAGTATGCACGTAAGTTTACCTTCTTGCCCAAATTTTCCATAGTTCTGGTCTGCAACTGTTTCTACATGCTGGGTCATGGTTATCAAGGAAGCTAAATGCTGCACTATTTCTAAATTCTTAGTAATTTTCTCTGCGCCAACTAAATTAAAAAAAGCAATGAATATTTCAATTTTCTCTTCATAACTTAAAAGTGATTCATATAGAAAGTAAGGAAGGATTTTCTTGCTTAACTTATTCTTTCCCTTTGAGCTGTCTCTATTGGTTTAGTAGTTATTCTGTTAGAGTTTTGACTTTAACTTCTCTGACACAAATTGCTCTTGGTTTACGAAACTGGAGTTCTTGTGACAGTTAAAAATCTTCAATTCAGATTAAGTTATTGTAAAATTTCACGTGTCTTATGTCTTAACTGACATATTATTAATTGTCCACATTACGTAGAAATTTTAATCTATTTAATTTAGTAGATTGTCTCTGTAACACTTCTACTACTTTGTCAAACTAAGCAATTTCTAAGTTCGAATGTGAAAACTGACTAGTACTTCATTGTTTTTACTCTCTTCATGTTCTTAGGCTCTAAAGATGGTTATGGAAAAAGAGAATTGGCTTATTCTGCCACCCGAAACAGTTCAAGTTGTTAGTTTTGCTGGACTGATTGGTGATGGAGCACCTCTATTTGTTCCATCTGATGGTAAGTCGTCTAACACCAAGGTCCGACAGTCAGATAAGTCAGCAAGCTCAGTCAGTACAGGTCGGGGTAGAAGTGGTTTTTTGCAGTGGATCAAAAGTGGAAATCCATTTTTACTTAAACTAATGCATACTTGTAAAGAAGACATACCCAATGGTGCCTTTTATGGAGAATTGGATGGAAGTGCTGGTGGAAGTTCTCATAGGAACTCTCACTCTGAGAATACTGACAATCTTGAAAATGGTGGTCATGCTGTATCTGAAGGTGAAGATGAAAATGAAGATCTTTTAGCTGACTTTATTGATGAAGATAGTCAACTTCCAAGCAGAATTTCAAGACCCAAACTTCCACGAAATTCTTCTAACCATAATTTTGATGAAGTTTCAGCTCAAACAGGATCATCTCTATGCCTTTTAAGGTGAAGTATCTGTAGTGATATTGGAAAGTGTTCGAAACAAACTTTTTTTTTTATTTTATTTTTTTATGTTTCTTAAAAAATTATTGAACTCCCAAATTTCAGGTTCATGGACAAATATGCAAGGCTTATTCAGAAGCTAGAGATAGTGAATATTGAGTTTTTCAAGGTATCCCCCGTATTTGGTGGTTAGCTTGTTAGATGCCGTTCACCTGTAAACAGCCTGAAATATTTCTCATTAGCTTATTTTTGGCAGGGTATGTGCCAGTTGTTTGAATTGTTCTTCTATTTTGTGTACGAGACTTTTGGCCAGCCTAACACTACTTCTGGTGGAAAAGGCTTCCCTGACTCCCTCAATTGTACTCACTCTTCTTTTTTCTCTTCTGATTTATTCCCTGACCAGTCCTTGAAACTCCTTCCTGTCCTATTCTCAAAGTTCAATATATCAGAAACTTAGAACACTATTTTACTTTTTCAAATTTTGACTTACATGGTTTATTTCTTCCTGAAATTATCAGATAAATTGAAGGCAGCTTTATCCCGGGCTTCACAGGATTGTGATCAGTGGATAAAATCTAATTCATCTTCTCCATCAGCATCGAATTCAACATTTTCTTTCAACGAAGTTACCCCAAGCCCTCCTGGCAGTAGCTTCGGTTACTTGCATGGAACAACTTTTGGTCTCAAGGTGCTAGTTTATATATAAAGCTACAGCATCGTTTTTCATTTATTTTGATTTCTGTATGTACGCATGTATGTATCTTTTTTTCTTTTCTCTCTGTTGGGGTTTCTTTTTATTCATGAGAAATAGATATCAATTTGGTTTTAGTTACAATTTTAGAATTTTGAGCCATATAATTGTGAAACAACTTGGAAGTGTGATAATTTAGATGTATTGAATCATTGGGAGTATTTACTCTATTTATGGACTAAAACAACTCAAAAAATCACCTAATTTCAAGAATTATAAATTCATAATCTATCTACAAAAAAGAAAAAATGAATAGCATAAGGAACAATTAACACCGTTATTTGCTGATTGTACTCTCTCCCCTCATAGTAGATCTAATACATTAATCAGTTTAACAATTGGTCATAGGCTATATAGTTCCAGTTACTATTTGGAAAGAATGCCAGCCTACTGATTACATCATTAAACGAGGTGCTCAAATAAGACCCTTCTGTGTTCCTTTTTTTTTTTTTTTTTTTTTTTAACGAAGTTTCAATCCACTTTCACCTGTTTGTTTTTGTTTTGTTGTGGCAATTTATGACTATACGAATAGTGACATTATTGTCATAGATTCCTGTAGAAGCTCTTTGATGGCTTCAATTCTTGAAGAATGTTATAACTATAGTTCACACGCCCCTTTGGTGACAATATCATGCTATACACAACTTATAAAACAACCAAATACATACAAGGCAGATTAAGTAACCCAAAAACTAAATCTAATCTAATCAAATCAAATCCCCTAAACTTTAGGTCTCAAATATTACAAATTAAACAGAAAAGATAATTCCCTAATTTAAAATTTCCTAACTTTGACATTAATTTTAACACTCCTCAAGATCGGTTGTATATATTATACAATCCAAATTTGTTATTCAAATCTTCAAAGTTAGGTCTTTAGCAATGGCGTGGTGAGATTATTTGCCAATTGTTGCTTATGTACCATTACTTGGTTGGTACCTAGTGAAGTTGAACTACTTCTGTAACGGCCCAGGCCCACTGCTAGCAGATATTGTCCTCTTTAGCTTTCCCTTTTGGGCTTCCCCTCAAGGCTTTAAAACGCGAGGGAAAGGTTTCCACACCCTTATAAAGGGTGTATCGTTTTCCTCCCCAACCAATGTGGGATATCTAATCCACCCCCCTTCAGGGTCCAGCATCCTCGCTGGCACTCGTTCCTTTCTCCAACTGATGTGGGACTCCCACCAAATCCACCCCCTTCGGGGGCCCAGCGTCCTTACTGGCATACCACCTCGTGTCTTACCCCTTCGGGGAACAGCCTCCTCGTTGGCACATCGCCCAGTGTCTGGCTCTGATACCATTTGTACCGCCCAAGTCCACTGCTAGCAGATATTGTCCTCTTTGGGCTTTCCCTCGAGGCTTTAAAACACGTCTGCTAGGGAAAGGTTTCCACACCCTTATAAAGGGTGTTTTGTTCTCCTCTCCAACCAATGTGGGATATCACAACTTCTTTATCGACTTTTTCTAGGATGAAATTTCAATCAACAATGTGTTTTGTCCTATTCCTGCTTGATTGTCACACGTCATTTTTATTGGTGGTAAGAACTTTTATCCAACTTGCAATAGAATTCTCTCAATCCATATGCCTTCATGCATACTATGAGCAAGCAACATTACTTGAAACCACAGATTGCTTTTTACTCCTTGTTATAAGACTACCTCATACAAAAGCACAATAACCTGAGGTAGGTCTTCGATTTATAATATCACCTGCTCAACTTACGTTTGTATAAACCTCTTGTCAGTTTTTCTAAAGGTAGTCCCTCCTAGGAGTCATCTTCATATATCTAAGAATTTTGAATACAAAATTTCATAAGGATTGTGCATAAATTGACTAACCATGGTGACCGCAAATCCAAGATTTGGACATGTGTGTAAAAGATAAGTGAGACATCCTACAAGACATTGGTATCTCCCCTTGCCAACTAGCCTGCTTTCATAATTGGCCTAGTTTCTTCTGTGAATCATAGGAGACTTCGTTGGTTTTCTCCCAAGCATGGCAATTTTTTTGAGAAAATCTAGATTCTTTGGGATATGACTATGTCTTTATGAGACCGAGCAATCTCCATACCGAAGAAATATTTGAGATTTCCTTGATTCTTGACCTCAAATGCTCAGGCCAAGTGATTCTTCACTTGCTACAATTATGATTCATCATTCCCTAAAATGATGGTATCATCACTTATACAATTAAGAGAGCAATTTGTGATTCTAATCTCCTTTTACGACTATGAAATGATTGATACTGAAAATATTCAAGATTGACATCAAAACTTGTCAATCTACCAAACCATGCACGTGGAAACTATTTTGGTCCATAGAGAGACTACTTAAGTTTGCCTACCTTTCTTGGATCAATGTTCTCTTTATATCTCGGTGGAATATCCATATGTACCTCTTTTTCCAAATCACCATTCAAAAATGCATTTTTTATGCCTAACTGTTGAAGACTTCAATCAAGATCGATTGCTAGAGACAAGATGATACTTATAGTATTGAGTTTTGCTACCGAAGCAAAAGTTTCCTAGTATTCAATCTGATGGGATTGAATGAATCCTCTAGCTAAAAGTCTAGCCTTTAATCCTTCCATTCTTTCACCTGGTTTATACTTCATTACAAAAATTCACTTGCTTTCCACATTTTGTTTCCATCTAGGAAAATTTGTCAATGTCCCTGTGCCATTTTTCTGAAGTGCGTCAATCTTATCTTGTCGTTCTTTTCTCTGGTCAAGATGCTTTTGAGGTTCATGGATGTTAGTTGGCACCTGAACATTATCAATAATAGAAACAGATACTTGATAGGACTTAGATAAGCCATCATATGGCACATATTTTGCAATAGGATGCTTGGTATAACCTCTAACACCTTTTCTTTGAGCAATTTTTATGTTCACATCATCGATCAAAGGAGCCACATAAGTAATATTCTCACTAGTGGGATTCAAAGGGGATGATTCTGGTTCAAGTGGTTGACATTTTAAGTCTTGCATGGTAGCCATTTTTCTTCTCGTATAAACAGTAGGAGTTTGATTTTGTAAGACTTCAGGTTCATAATCAATAGGTTGGTCAGACGTAGAAATAGGTAGCTCTTTTATTAAATGGAGCTAAGACCTCGCTCAGTATGGGAGTAGGAGTTGTGATATAAATGGACTTATGCTCTTAGCTTATGCTCTGGGTTTGGAATGAAAATAATTAGACAACTTTTGAAGAGAAGCCTTTAGAATGCAATGCAAGGGTGGATCTAGCCAATGTCATGCCTCCTGATGTGCAGCTTCATTTTTCAATTAGAAGTTACGTTTCTTCCCCCGCCAAAGAAAAATGCTATTGACGAGTATAATCATGGGTTGTTACACATGTTAGTCTACGTAGAGGGAAAGAAATATATAACATAGAAAGAAAGACTTAACTACCGTATTATGCTTATTCCCATGAATTGGTATATATGTATTTTATTCAGAGTTTCATTGCTTATCATGCATCAGAAAGGGCCGGAATGAGTCATTTTCTCCCTCGAAAAAATTTGTTTTTCTTCTCTTTGAGACATTACGATTACTTGGTTAAAAAATAAAAGGATCTGTCATGGGTGTTCTCCTCTAAACTGTGATTATTATACCGCAGGAGAGGAGTGCAGGTGCTGACTCATTATCACTTGTGGCAAGAATAATGCATAGGTCTAAAGCCCATATTCAATCCATGCTTCTGCAAACAAATGCAACTGTAATTGAAGACTTTTATGCACATCTGGTAAGGTTCATTTTTTCATTCTTGGTATGTCATGGATCATAACGTTTTCTCTCTGAGAAGAAAATGTGTGTTCAATTCAATCTTAGTGCAGCTTAAGATGGTTTAAATCAGTTCTACATCCAGCCTTTTCACATGTTTTTTTCTAATGGGATTGTTCCATGAAAATAAATTTTATTTTGAAGATAGCACTTTATTTCTCACAACTGTGATAAGGTGATTTGCAACCTAGGGATTAAAATTCTAAAGAATTCTATTCAATATCAAGGTTGAGATTACAAAAGGAAAAATGTTGGTGCTGCTTACTATCATAGAATGTACTTGACAACCCCGCAGATGAACTAAAACTAATTAACAAGTTGTAAACTAATTGGCTGGTAACAACCGGCAAGGTCACTAAGCAACGCGTGAGGTTTATTTTCAGCTTAGGTTTGCATGAGGAAGGTTCTCCACCCAAACAATTTACTAATATGGTTGAGCAAAAAGAAATAATTTTGGTGGTTGTGCATAGGTACCATTTATTTGCTGTCAAAATTGGTAAATGGAATGTCTTGCATGAAAAGATTATTTATTCCTTTGTTGCTGTCGTTTCTTCCGAGGCTTCCATTAATGGGTTAGAAGTTCATGCAAGGGTTCCTCCATTTTCTCGCCATCCATATGTTGAACTAATCTTTATCGAGGAAATCTGCTTTTGCAATATATTTAGCGCCTGCTGGAAAATTCTGTTTTACTTCATTATGGCTGTGAATTCTTATAACTGAACTCGGAACTTGTGGTTACTGAAAAAACAATTCTCAAGCCTAAAATGGCAGAAAGCTCATCTCCTTTGAAAATTTTTAAGTTTGAGTGGGGGTAAGATTTCTAATAGGAAAAACCTGCATGTCTTCCCAACTCTTTAACCCACTTGACTTCTGAAACTATTTTTACGATACTTATATTTGAACATCATCAATAAAAAGATCATGTTAGCTTAGAGGTATTTCTTCACCTGAAGTGGGGGAAATTTCCTTGAAGGCTTTAAAGGTTGGTTGTGCACTATCTGATATAGTTTCATGAAGGTTCTAGCTTCCTGCAACTTCTATTGGTAGGACTTCTTCAAGTCTCTGTAGTGTGCACTATCTGATATAGTTTCATGAAGGTTCTAGCTTCCTGCAACTTCTATTGGTAGGACTTCTTCAAGTCTCTGTAGTGAAAAATATTAGCTTAAAGGAGGACATCATTTTGATTCCAAATTATGTATCCTAAGGATTAAAATTCCTAAACAGCTAAAGAAATTTATATTCTGCTACAACCCAGCAAACTAACTGAAACTTACTGAAGCTGGGAACTAATTTACTTACAACAATTGGTTCGGAGTTACTTACCTAGTGTCACAATCGCACTTTTCTTGGCAGCGGACTAGATATTGTGCAACGCTTGTTCTAACCTAGCAAACAAGCCAACCGTGTCAAAATCGAATTTCGCGGACAATTCTAATGTATGGTCGAGCTTCGAGCCACCTTTTGAGAGAAAAGGTTTTAGAAAATATGGGCGAGGAAAATCATTGAAAACAAGTTGGAAGTAAGCATTGTAAAAGTCAATTCTATTGAAAACATGGAGGCAAGAGAGATTACAATACTTGGTCGGGGGAGGTTTGATGACTACTTGGCCCCCACATTTTGAGGCAATTCTGGTCTGGCAGGCCCAGACATGATCATACAAACAAAAAATACAATAGTAAAGCAATACATCATGAAAGCAAATAAATTGTTTAACATGCCATGGGCAACACGTCCTAGACGAGCATGACCATGATATCCTCCCCCACCTAATTTCTTCTGTAGGGAGATTTTTCCATTGGGCTGGAATTCTCGAACACTTCGTACAGATCTTTCACTTTCCTAACCCTGTCGGTTTGGATCGTTTCGACTCCTTTGTTGTCCTTCTGTTTAAGGTCAATTCTGGGTCTTGTTGCGACGTTGCGGTCGACATCATTTGAATCGGGGTGGTAAGGCTTCAAGCTGCTCACATGGATTATAGGGTGAAATTCATTGATCACACTGCATAGTGCATGAGAAAGGATTAATTCAGATTTCAAAAATATAAAATCGCATTCTATAATGTATTTGATGGAGATACTTTGGGGATCGGGACTCTTTTCTCCCCAGGAGTAATTGCAGGTCCTAAATAAATTTGATTGGTAGTTTAGTTCTATAATCAGTACTTTTTCCTTTTGTTTATAATTTTGATTTGTTTCCCTTGTTATACAAGAATCTAAGATAAATACAAACTGTTCAGTGAGAATATTCATCAGTGACAAATACAAGATAATATCTTAGCAAAATGATTCCTGTTTAAAGTTTTTTGCAACTGCCATTCATGTCAATGGAATTTTTTCTACTTATTGTTAGCTCAATAAAACTTCTATTGTTTTCTTGTTTATTGTATGTGACTTGTTATGAATGTCTTTTACTATTTTGATGTGTTGGAGTTTCTTGTTTATTCTTTGGTTTTTAGGCTTTCTGTTTAAACTGAATAATCTTCTTTGGATCAGTTGGATGCCGTCCCATATCTCATTGAGCATATTCATAAGAACACTGCAAGACTGCTTCTTCATGTCAATGGGTAAGAATATTTAAATGGACTCTATCTAGACTTTATTAGAGCTTTAGGTGGTGGAGATTCTTTGTATGAGCTGCACCTGTTATATGAATCTAAAAAATGGAAGCGCACACATTCATCAAGTAATACAAGCATGTTTAGAATCATTCTGACAAAGTTTCTGCTAATCATCACTTACAGATACTGAAATAAGGCTAGCCAATCACTAATAAGAAAATGAATCTAAGCATACTCAAACAAACTAGAATAAAATATGCTGTAGCAGTAGCAGTAGCAGTAGCAGTTTTGAAATAACTAAGAAATTATTTGCAATAGTAGGCTTTATTCTAGAATTCCAGCCCCAAAAAATCAGATCATGCTTGAACCATGAAAATAGGTATTAACTTTAATAATTCATAAACGGAATATAAGTTTTATTTCCATATATGAACTGTTCATTTATTACAAAAGAGGAATGAAAGCATGCCAGTAAAAAAAAAAACATGCAAGGAGAATTCATCAGTTTTTGGAAAGAGAACACCAAGAAGAAGCCTTTAAACATGCTGAAACATTCTGATAATAAAACTTTGATCCCATTACCCCAAGGAGGTCTGAGTAATTAAACGTTCTTATATAAGTATTAGAAAAAGACTAGCATGTAAGAAGAAAAATGGAAAGAAAGAGCCTAAAGCTCTTTTCTGTATTCGACTTCATCATCCTCTCTTTCCACAACAGCTGATATTCAGTCCCAAGTTTGCCCTACTTTTGGCTGATTTTCTACATGCATGGAATTTCAAAGCCTACTTGAGGGACTGCAGGTGACTTTGTATGGCTAATAGCTAAACATTATTCCTTTTGAAGAAAGGAAGAGATTATAGAGGTTAAATCTCACGAAATCCAAAAAAGACCTTAAAAATGCAACGTCGTGGTAGGTTTAAGTCCAAAGAAAGAAACCAAAGGTAACTCATTCTATTAGAGCTATTAGAATCAATTGAAATTTGAAATTATGACCGTTGAAGGAATAACCTTGACTTAAGAAATATTTGTGTAATCCAATTAAATACGGGGAGTATTTAACCTCCCTAATTTAGATTTACGGATGCCTAGTATCTAGAAATTTATTAATTTATTTAGATTTATTGTTACATAGCATCTAGGGATCTATATAGATTAGATGTATTGTTATCTAGTATCTTGGAATTTAGTTAGCTTTTCTATGTTATAAAAGGCAGACTTACCTCTTTTAAATTTAATATGAACAACAAATAAGATAATTTACACTTAGCAACATGGTATGAAAGTCATTCTATTTTGGGAGGTCTGATTAATTAGATTCAGAGCCTTCATAGCTACCAATCTTCCACATTGACCGAAATTTATTTGGAGCCTTCATAGCTACCGATCTTCCACCTTGACCAAAATTTATTTGGATCCTTCATAGCTACCGACCTTCCACCTTGACCAAAATTTATTTGGATCCTTCACAGCTACCGACCTTCCACCTTGACCAAAATTTATTTGGAGTTTTCATAGCTACCGATCTTCTACCTTATCTCAGTTTCATTCGGAGCCTTCATAGCTACCATCCACCATTGAAGATCATTGTTCCAGTATTGTGTTAGCATTATACAGTCGTTAGTGATTGCGTAAAAGAGTATTCATAGCAAGAAGGCCACGACATTAGCGCTAGCATTCCTTTCTGAGTTTCATTCACTACAAGTGTAGCTACAATCTCACCATCAATTCATTCATCTTTTATCTATCAATCTGCAAACCCACTTGCGTTCATTCGTAGTTTGAGAAACAAGGATAAATGTCAAAAGCACGAGCGTACATTGCACAAGAGTCCAAATTAGAACAAAAGGGTCAGTTGTGAAGACTAGTGAATTCAAATAATGAAGAGATTAGGAGGAAGGTGCTCTTGAACTCCCTCGACAAACCATCAAGTTTTAATACCTTGTCAATCTCAAGTAAGTCCTCATTTACTTTTTGTATAAATCCTTCAAAGGTAAGTTGGGTTAGCTCTTGGATTATACACTCTGGTGCAACTAATTACATGACTAAATTTATCTCCGGTCTTGAAGACAATCTCCTGTCATCGGAGTCACCTTGACCAAATTTATTTGGAGTTTTCCTGCCTTGGTCAAAGTGGAAGATCAAGTGAAATCAGAATTTTTGTGGGTGAATCTCATCCCATCTCTTGCAGAGGCAAAAAAAAAAAAAAAAAAAAAAAAAAAAAAAAAAAAAAAAAAAAAAA